ACAGTTTGAAGTTGGCAATGTTCAGACCAAACGTGATGGTATTATGGTTAAGTAAACGTCTTGACATTCTGGCTAGCTAAGTTAGCGTTAAAAGTGTTAAGCGTTACAAATTAACTTTCACGGGAAGGTATTTATTCATATTTTGTAATTATGCCAACCGCAGCTACTTGTTACAATGCCACGATAAAAGCTACTAAGATTTTTTTGTAGTTGAATAATTGCAGCGCTAAGCACTATTTGTCAGCGTAAACACCGACTTCAAAGGGTTTGTTCTGTCCAGCAAATAGCCTCGACCGTGTTACTGGTGATAAGCTGATACGGAAAAGCTAAAGACTATCAATGGTGACGTAGGGGCAAAGTGTCCAGAAGAAACAAAACTGTGAGAACTACTCCCAGTGTTATGCACAAGAACATATAGTGGTAAAAGATTCAACCGGCTACCCAGTGGATTAAGCCTAGACCACAGCCAACGAAGAAACTATTTCAACCCAAAGTTAGCCACCAGGTATCGTAGCTAGTTCACCAGCAACTACACAGAGCCATCTTGTCAAAGCTAACTGCTAAATGGTACCGATAGCAGAGCTATCATTACCCGGTCTAAGGTCAGGGTTTGTGTGTCTTTAGGTACGTCTGCTGCAAGAAGTTCAGAGATACCCAAAATTAAAACAACTCACCTCACAAAAACAATATCGTCTCCTCATACATCAGAAAAATCCAAACAGCCACACAGCTTCCCAAAATGCTGATGGTCGCTTCATTTTACCGGACTAACTCTGCGGCTAGCCGGCTGTCGGGAGAGTGGGGGAAGTGCACGTCTACGGAAGGCAGGCTGTGCGGTGGTGCTAGCTAGCACTCTAGATGGATGGTTAGCTAGCTAACCAACAACTTGAACCTTGTGTCGAGTGGTCGTATACTGCCAGGAAACTGTTAGACCAGCCTTCAACCAGTCCCGAAAAAGGTTCACAAGCTTCCTGCAGTGAATCCAGAAGCTAAATAATTGGCTCCATGCTGTGGATTTAGTTTAAACACTAACAAGCTAAAATTGGCTAGCTTCTGCTATGTTGTGGAATCTCGCTCGCGAGGTCGTTAAAGCTACTTCAAGTTTGCACAAAATAGTACATTCGCAAATAACATCCCCAAACTTTGTTGACACGCCAGTAAATATATATTTTCCCTATGTTTTAGACGACTGCAGGCATTCATCTGCCTAAATTTATAGCTCAACTTTGCACGGGTACCCTTGTATGGGACACTAGCATTTCTTCACTTCGCTAAACTGCGTTGCGTCTGCACACTGCTGTTCCGCCAAGTGGCTAGCCGCCGCCAGCAATGCCCGCCAATAGGC